CGCTGAGTGCGCGCGCGCACTTCGTGGGATTTTCTGGTCAGGAAAGCTCCACGAGCCCGTTGAATCACGCGGAAAGCCTCCGGACCGCGCGCAATTGATTCACCGTCTAGGATCTACTACTGCAACCTAGCCTACTACTTAGGATTCTACACAAATCTCGAGATTTTTCTTCTTATTGAAGATCGAGGAAAATCGACAGTGACAGTCGCACCATGGCGCGAATGGGTCTGTTGCATGAAGAAATACAGCCAACATAATACACTTATTAAAAGTAAATTTACTCGAAAACCACGTTGGGCACATAAAAAAAAGTCCAAAATCCTCACTTTAACGCGCAATCTGCGCAGTTTCAAGATTTCCGCGTTTCTAAGCAGTTTTTCTTAGTTTCCGCCGACCAGGTTTACACAGGCAGCGAGGAGTGAGAAAGTACTTAAGCAATTATGAAAGTTGGTGGGCAGCTAGGAATTCTCATTCCAGCAACGTTATTAGAGACAGTTGAGGATATGACAAAATATAGGAAAAAACCACCAAAATTAAAGAAATGCATCCGTGGAGATTTACGTGAATTTCCAATGATTGACTTCGCACATGCAGTTAATCAACGGTATCATATCATACCGAATCAGTATACATAATAATCTCGATGGCCAAAGTGCGAAACAATGCATCCTCGTTTGCGAGTTTTCACAAAAAATTCTGTATAAAGAGAAGAAAACTCACTGACATTCTCAAAAAATGACGTTCAGTAGTTCCCAATGTAGAAAATAAAGTATAATAGGAAGTCTGCAACACCGCAAACCGACATTTCTGCAGTTTCACCATCGAAATGCTATTAGTGTCCCTGAACCGCCTTTCTCTCGCCGCATGCTCGGTACACTCAAGCTTTTTGTACTGTTTTTTGCTCGCCATAATCTTATACGTCTCAACAAGACTTGCAAACGAGTCCTTGTGCTGTGGCTGCCGTGCAAGCTCTACCTGTAAATCGCGAAAGAAATTTCTAGGAAGGACGCGAATAAAGCTGCAAACATTTCATACGTTTTTCCTCTCCACTTGACAACATTGCTCGAGCCCTTTTTTTGGCGGGCCAAGTCACTCTGCACCGTGTGTGATAAAACTTTCTATGCTACGGTTGTCTGAGCGTTTTACCACCGACTTCGATGCAAATCGTCGCTCCTCTGGCGTAAGACTGTATCTCAATATCCGCATGAGCCCCAGAAAGCCTAGATTTATGTGTAACACGGGGCTCATGTGGTACTTGAGGTACGCCCTCACGCCAGAGTGACGAAATTGATGCCCGCTTGCGTGTATTTTGCTCCTTTTCTCCGTCAGTTTGGTTCACGTCCTAATTTTAACACGGTAATCCACTCACATGCTGACATCTTGTAAGAAATCCCAGCATTGAGAAAATTCGTGAACAAAAATTCCAAAATCGAATTGTCATGTTGAATCAGTGCACCCATTTCTCGGAACTAGTACTGAATTTCGGAACATTTGAGATTTTTCTAAATTTTTCCCGGAACCTATGAAATTCCCAAAATGTTCCGGATCTTTTGCATTTTCCGGAACTTTCTCGGAACTTTTGATATAATCTAAAGAGAATCCTGGAAATTTTGACAGTCATAGAGTGGGAAAAATTGGAGCAAAAAAGTTCCGGATCCTGGAACTTTTGACGGTCATGGAATGGGAGCACTGTGTTGAATGTTCTTTTATACGCTTTTATGAATTGCTCGAAGTATATGGGGACCGATTTATCAGTAACGCACAAAATTGTTTTTGGAAAGGATGAGTTAGGAGTGTTTTTGAATATACCTCGTCAGCTCACGTTAAAAATTTAAAATATTTTGAACGTGGAAACGCGTTAAATTTTGTCCTGAACATCAAGTCTAAAGGAGCAATTAAAGATCAAACTTCTCCCCCTTGGTTCAAACTTGACGCGCGATTTAGTGCGTTATTGTTTTGAACTTTGTCTACGTTGCATCCAGCCTACTCTCATCGCAACCCTCCACACCAATCCTAAAATGAATCAGTGCACCATGAATTCCGGATCACAAAATTCCAACACTGCGAATTCCCGGCAGTGTAATTGTGCAATTGTAGAAAATACTAGTTATCATCTCCGGCGTTTTCGGGTGATTGCTGAGGTGAGGGGGGGGGAGGAGGTTGCAAAGGTTCAGTCGTCTGAAATCGGTGTCAAGAGGGAGGCGAATAATGGTTGGCCCAGAGCTCAGCATTCATCCTTTCATCGGCGCAACCAAAACTGCCGTCAACCCTTGCAGCTCCTACCTCACCCCCATATCCTTCGCCCCCCCTTCCCCCGTTTGTCAACTTTGGCAGGCGGTCGTGTTTGCTGCAGTGACTGCAATCTGCTATTGTCTCGACCTCCGGGACTCGAGTTATTAGCAAGACAGCGTTGTCAATTTTCACGGAGAGAAGGTTTCTCGCGGGGATATTTTCGTGCGGAGACGCTCGGATGGTTTCAGAAATTTCGCTAGCATACAGCGTCGAAGCAGAGCTCAATATTGGACTTGGGGTCGCCACTCCACGCGGAGAATATTCGGTCGATAACATATGGACTACATTTGGACGTATTTCTGTCAAACGGAACTATGTGCATCAAGACATGGGCCCTGAGACCCATTAGAGTATATGCACAACAGGGCTCACGTCATAATGCACACAGTTCCGTTTGACAGAAATACGTCCATTTTGCAATAAGGAGCCACTTTTTCTGGCTCCTTCATGAAAGCACCTATCTGCACAGGACAACCAAAAAAACATATTTACGGTGAAACAGCAAATGTGTGTATCTCTGATGCGGTGACCAAAAATCTTCAATCTCTCTTCCTATTAAATTTGTTAAAAGGAGACTAAACCAACATCATGACCTGAAATGTTTACCGAACATTCTTCTATTGGAGAAGAAAAATCACCGAAGTTTGCAAGAATACGTTGAGTGTCCTTCTGCGAAGAAAATAAAGTAAAACAGGGAAAACAAATACATGGGTCATCCGGTCATTCCGAAATTATTGCGCGTTTTGCTCTCATTTCAAAACTATTGGAGATAGACACAATTCAATAAGATGTGCGTATAGGACATACTCTCAGCTTTAATTTAAGCCCAAGTTTTCTTAAAAACCGAATTACGATGCGTTTCCTGCCACCCTCAGGCGAACGGTATACGCGATGAGAAAAATGTAAGGACCTGATCCGATCCAATATTGAAATCCTTATCAATCACTGGAAAAAAAAAACACATTGGATTTAGAATCCAGGCTCTTAAAAACATCGAAAAGAAAAAATACTCCTGATTCAATCGGATTTTTGCTTAAATCAAGAACCAAGCCTCTTAATTTGAGCGGATTTCCTTTTGATTTAAGCAAAAATCCGATTGAATCAAGAGTAGTTTTTCTTGTCGATGTTTTTAAGAGTCTGGACTCTAGATCCAATGTGTTTCTTTCCCATTGATATTTTTAATCAGGTTGTTAATCTGTTCAGCAGTACATGTTGTCGAAAAGGGATTTATCTATAAGAGTCATCAGACAACGATTCAACAATCGACCCGCAGAAGTGAGGTCACTGTCGCGTCGCTATGCTTGGGCGCAGCGATGCGATGGTGACGGCGCCTGCATACGACTATTCGAGCTCTCTGGATGTCCGTGTTGCATACACGCAGAGATGAAGGCGTTTTAACTCTCCAGGCACTCATCACTTCACCCGCGGCACCAACTACGGAGCGTGGTTTTTAGAGAAATTATTTGCGCCTATATCAAGTTGCTTACAGTTTCCTGGTGAAAGAATAAAACACGATTGAAAATGAGATAGTGTGGAACGCAGTTAGGTTGGTTTTGGTTACATTTTTCCAATTGCTCGCGCAACATAAATCATCCGACGCACCTCCGTACCTTTATAAGAAAAGGTTACCTGTGCTCCGGAGTTTGATAAAAACTATATGGACATCGAAACTAATCAGCTGGCGTATTTTAACCTTGAACTGGCATTACATACGATGAAATTCTCGTTGCAAATAGGTTATCACTTTTACCTCCAAGCGTTATCTTTGCAATTCGCCTACTTAAAAGCTCGCTTGCAGATTAAACTCCCGCACGATTTTAAGACCTCTCATAAAATTTTAATCTCGGCTGTGTCAGAAGTCGCGTTTGATAAAAAAACAACAAAAAACACAGTATTTTTATGATGCCAAGTATAGATGGTAGCCTGGTAGACAACGCTGTAATTGCAGATAAGGGGAATTCCTAAATATATTCTGGGAGAGTAAGAAAAAAATAAAATTCAGTAGTTGATTCAGTAAATTGCTGCCGGCATTTCCGATGTTGTTGAGGTTAGCGTGCTTAAGATCTTGTCTTGTCTCCGCGTTTTTTGTAAGTTAATTTTATTGAAATTTCCGAACAATTGTTTTTCTCTTTAAAAAACACGTGGAAAGCGTTTGAGGCCGCTGATCTCCTTCTGAACTAGATTATAATCCAAGCGCGTGGACGTGTATCGCTACTCTAGGCGTTGAAAACTTTCAATCACATTTTAAACATTTTACTCGATCCAGTTCATATTTAAACGGTTTTGAAAGCGATTACAAACGCCTTTAAGTTCTAATAAACATTTTTTGAGTATAATTTTATTCAAATGAGTTTTTTTTTGTTTAGAAAAAAATATTAATCAAAGAAAATTTTGAAAATTTTATTCAAATGAGGCTTTTTTTTGTTTGAAAAAAATATTAATCAAAGGAAATGTAAAGTACCTACACGTAATCAATAACGAATCCAATTTCTTAGAAATAAAACAAAATTGAAATTGAAACTTTCTGTCACTCAAAAAATGTTATACTTTGTATAAAAAAAAATTGTAAGTATTCTCATTAAAAATTTTTTAAATTAATCATTCCGTCCTGTTTGAAAAGCGTTTCTAAACATTTTTTTTTAGTGGGGCTCGAGTTATTTTATTATTAAATTAAATTAAGGTGGTGATTGTGTTTGTTATTGTTGAAGGAATGGGGCGAGCGGTGCGGACGGCACTGCAGAGGAACCGTGATCGGGCGAACCTGAGCTTCCTGTTGGCGGTGACGTTTTTCGTTGTTTTCTCGGTGATCGTTCTCTCGGAGGTCTTCTTCATAGAGGAGAAGAATCGCACGGGGCCTCGCTCCCAGTTCCACCAGAACTACCGCCCGGCCACTTCCCAAGATTCGCCCAGTTTTGTCCAGGTAAATCCTTAAATCCCACCTTTATTTGATTCAGTGAGAACGAAAACACACCAACTCGGAAAAATGAAAATAATCAAGACCCACACAAAACTGCACAGTAGGTGAAGAAGTGAATTTAAGAAAAATATTTTTGCTACTATAAAAGACAGGTGCACTGAAAAAAAAATCTCGGTGTATTTACTAAGGAAAGGGTAAAATTACCAAGAATTCAGGGTTCTATTTGATCCCAGTTTTTTCTTGGTGAAATTACCATTTATGGAATTGGTAATTTTACCGAGAAATCTCGGTAAAATTATTGACTTTCTCGGTAATTTTACTGGACCCCGCTAAAAACGCCAATATTTTTTATCGACTGTGGTAGAATTACCGAGATAAAATGGCAAAGTTACCGGGAATTGATTACCAATAAAAGTGGTATTCTTAACTAAAAAAAACAGTAAAAATACCGGTTTTTAGGTAAGCTTACCAGTCTGTCTTGGTAAAATTACCAATAATTGGTAAAAAAGGTGAGATGATAAAGGTACCAACGGACCTTGGTAAAAACGCCAAGAATTTTTTTTCAGTGTGCTTATGGACACTTTATGGGTGCAAGCTGGAACAGATGCGCTAACTGCAACGACCTTTGCGTAAATTAACTGTCTTTAATGGAAATTGAGCATTTCCGAGTTGGTGTGTTTTCGTTCTCACTGATTCATTTTTAGATATGTCGCAGGTAATCATACTGAAAAAAATGGTATGCTGTTTTAGCACCTAGGATGTCAAAAATATGTCTGGTGATTCTCAGATGCTGCCTTGATTGCCTACGCAGTTGAATTTGCGTTCACAGGATGTAATAAAGTTAACTGCGGGGGCAGTGAAGGCAGCATCGTGGGATCACCAGACATATTTTTGACCTCCCAGGTGCTAGAACAGCATATTATTTTTTTTTTTAATGCAGTTAAATCAGGCATTTTTTTCATTTTCATCAAGGTATTTTCATCAATGCCTAAAGAGCTAGTCAAATTTTGAGTTTTCAAAATTGTGTAAATTTACGGCGAAGAGCTCAAGTTTCTACTTGCTGGGATCGCCACTGGCTCCATGTGAATAATACCTACACAGCATTCCTGCTAGTATAGGTACCTAGTCTCATTTGAGGGTCAAGAAAAAGCGAAAAATCATGCTAACATTTTTAATTTCACAATTTATTTCTATGAATGTATTAAACCAGTATTTTATTCGATTAATCACAGCAAAATTTCGAAAATTCGTGGGCAGGAAAGCTGAAAAAAAGGTCGTGTCAAGGGAGTTATCAGAAGCGCGGTCTGATCCTCCGTTTTCCGCCTTTTCCCCCCCGCTTTTCCGCCTTGCGGTGCTCTTTCTTCGTCGATACTCTGACGTAAAGGCGCGTCTCAACCTCCGCGTGAGCCCTGTACTACATTTCAATCCGTGCTCTTCGGGGCTTACGCGGCAATTGAGATACGCTCTTACGTCAGAGGAGGAAGACGTCTTTACGTCGCTCTCCGCGGGTGCATTTTAGATTTCTAAGCGACGCACACTTTTTTCAACGGGGATTATCGGAGGGGTCTCGATGGGGCAACGTCGCACAGTGGATCGAGCCAATCAGAAAGCTCGCACATGAAATTTTTTACTAAAACTGCAAATTTTTTTGTTTATTTCGTCACATTTTAAACTTAAAGAGACGTTCCCAGAAGAAAATTCCATGAGGAAACATATGGATCCACTCTTAGAAGCTCAAAATGTTGAATAAATAGAGTTACACTGGAAAAAAAAACACATTGGATCTAGAGTCCAGACTCTTAAAAACATCGACAAGAAAAAATACTCATGATTCAATCAGATTTAAGCTTAAATCAAGAACCAAGCCTCTTATTAGGAGCGGATTTCCTTTTGATTTAAGCTTAAATCTGATTGAATCAAGAGTCCTTTTTCTTGTCAATGTTTTCAAGAGTCTGGACTCTAGATCCAATGTGTTTTTCTTCCAGTGTATAAGCGTTGAAAGTTTCCGGATTATGTCCGACCTCTCCTATTGACTGGATCCACCGTGCGTCGGTCGTGGATGACGGATGGAGCTTTTGTGAGCGGAGCGCTGAACTATGACGGATAGACCTTTGTGCGCGGGCATTGTAAGCTCGGTCCCAATTAATGGCCTCCTCGGGGGGTTTTTTACCTGCTTGTCTTCGTCCTCCGCGAGGTGCATCCTCGTCTGCGTAATGACCCGCGCTTTTTTTTAACGTCAGGCGCTCACCTTCCGTTGCTGCCGTTTTTCCAGTCGTGTTTGGACGGATTTAACCTGAGCTAGCCCGACCGCATTTTAAGATACCCTTTATCTCCTCGATAACTCCTCTCAACCGATCACTGGAAAAAAACACATTGGGTCTAGATTCCAGACTCTTAAAAAAATCGACAAGAAAAAATACTCTTGATTCGATCAGATTTAAGCTTAAATCAAGAACCAAGCCTCTTAATTTGAGCGGATTTCCTTTTGATTTAAGCTTAAATCTGATTGAATCAAGAGTCCTTATTTTTCTTCTCAATGTTTTCAAGAGTCTGGACTCTACAAATAGATCCAATGTGCTTTTTTTCCAGTGATCCATTGAGAAAAAAAAGGAGGTGTTAGCATCTCGGGCATTTTGGATTTTTTTGATAACGTAGGTCGGTGCGGACGAGTTTTACCATCGATTTTCTTGGAAATAGTGTATTTTAAGAAAAAAATTCAATCTATGTGAAGTGTTTGAAATTACATCATGAGTTGATTTAAACCAAAAAATCGAACGTCGTGGTTCGTTTTTCATACTTCGAATTCCGGATTTTACTGGAATATCGACGCCATGTTGTACCGACCTACGTCACAGAGCAAACAATCCTCAGGATGCAAACACCGATGCAAGAACTCAATTTTTATTCTTTATCGACGAGATCGACGAGATCCGATCGACAACCGCGAATCGATCGACAAAGCCGAGACTCGATTTACAATAGCCATGGATGGATAAAAAAATCTGTGAATTGATCGACCCACCCGTGAAGCGATCAACAAGTCTGTGAATCGACCTGCAAAACCGTGGATCGATCGAATTTTGTCAATTGAATCGGAGTCGATCAAGTCGCTATCGATCGGTTCACGTTTTTATTTCTCATCAATCTCGGCGCCGGCGCTTCGGCTCAGATGTTGCACATATGTTTTCACTGTGAACGTGTCAGTAATGGAGATGTTGCATGTATGAGTAATTTGCGATAATTGCCACTGGTTTTCTCTGAAATCAACTCCCAAGCTCAAAAAAAACTCTCGAAGTTGAGGGCGTAATGGAGGGGATATCCCACGCTATCCTGAGAGTCCACCTCTACATCAAGACAAACTCTCCATGCAAAGATAGGGGGCAAATACATTGACAGGGCTGCCACTTTATTTGGGGACTCTAAAACTGGAAACACGGCAACCCTGCTAATGTCTTGGCTCCCTATCTTTGCATGGAGAGTTTGTCTTGATGTAGAGATGGACTCTCAGGATAGCGTGAGATATCTCCTCCATTACAGCCTCAACTTTGAGAGCGTTTTTTGAGCTTGGGAGTGGATTTCAGAGAAAATCAGTGGGACCGCCGTGTTTCTCGCGAACTTTTACATGAGAACCAACAGTCAAATCGCAAATTCCTCACACATGCAAAATAGTTGCTTGAAGCGCCGTGGCATTCCGCAGCGCGGCGGGCAACCAGCGTGACACGCGCATTGGCGCCTACAAACCTAACAGGGATACTTCACGCATTGCGCAATGCGTGAAGTATCCCTGTTAGGTTTGTAGGCGCCAGCGCTGGCAGCACGCCGCTGAATGACCCACTTGGGAATTTCTGGTCTGGAAAGCTCCACGAGCCTGGTGAATCGCAAGGGGAGCCTCGGAACTACGCGCAATCGATTCCCTCCATTATAGCCTCAATTTTGAGAGCGTTTTTTGAGCTTGGGGGTTGATTTCAGAGAAAATCAGTGGGACCGTCGTGTTTCTCGCGAACTTTTACATGGGAATCAAATAGTCAAATCGCAAATTCCTCACACATGCAACATCCCCATTATCGTCGTTCAAATCGTGCTCTACGTGAAATTTTAAAGAGAGAACATGGATAAGAATGCTTAAATGGAGATGTTGCATGTGTGAGAGATTTGCGATTTGACCATTGATTCTTATGTAAAAGTTTGCGAGAAACACGATGATGCCACTGGTTTTCTCTGAAATTATCTCCCAAGCTCAAAAAAAGCTCTCAAAGTGAGGCCAAAATGGAGGGGATATCCCACCCTACCCTGAGAGTCCACCTCTACATCAAAACAAACTCTCCATGCAAAGATACGGAGCAAATGCATTAGCAGGGTTGCCGTGTTTTCAGTTATGGAGTCCCCAAAAAAGTGGCAGCCCTGCTAATGTATTTGCTCCCTATCTTTATATGGAGAGTTTGTTTTGATGTAGAGGTGGACTCTCAGGGTAGGGCGGGATATCCCCTCCATTTTGGCCTCACTTTGAGAGCTTTTTTCGAGCTTGGGAGATGATTTCAGAGAAAACCAGTGGCACCATCGCGTTTCTCGCGAAATTTTACATAAGAATCAATGGTCAAATCACAAATTCCTCACACAAGCAACATCTCCATTGTCGTCGTAAAAATCGTGCTCTACGTGAAATTTTAAAAAAGGAACATGGATAAGAATGCTTAGGCCTTCTCCACACGAGCGCGGTTCGCGGAACTCATTCCGAGGAACTTGTTCCCGGAACAAGTTTTAGCTGAGCTAAAAACTTATTCCTCCAAAACCCGGAACTTCCCCCGTACTCCGAGCTTCTATATATGTTTCTTCTGATGCGAATTTGTTTGTTTTTGTTTTTTACGTCCTTTACATGTCTTGACATTTATTTTCGTTACTTTGGCGGCCGTAATAATCTATTATTTTGCGATAATTGTATAGTTTTATCGAAGTGCCGGTTTCAGTTCGGGCGAACTCGTGTGCGGACAGCATGCCTCGTTTCA